GTCAAAGGTGTTTTGTATCTTAGAGCCTGTTGCTTGCATAAAATCTTTTTGCTTTTTTTAAATCTTGATAATATTATCGGGGCAAGCCGTACGGTGACGGTTCAGAAAAAACATCACAACAAAACAATTATTGGCCGCAGCGTCAATAATTTAAAATTAATTTTTTTTTACAGCCGACTTCAATATAAGTTATTAAGAATAACTTCAAAACTGTTGGTCTGACCTTGATCAAATTCATATGAGACTACACGAGAAGTATCAGCTTTCAAATAAAAAAAGAATCATCGAAATCGGTTCACCCAGTAAAAAAAACATACAGTCGAAATGAGTAGTACTCAATGAGTACCGTCTCCTTTTTGGAAGTCGGCAGACAATTGGAAGCTGTGGTACTGAGATCATCAGTCAGTCTGCTAAGCTTGGTAATTAAGTTAATAAAGAGGGCCGGGAAAGAAAAAATATAAGAAAATAAAGAAGAATATAAGAGAATAGGAATATTAATAAAAAGCGGTGTGGCAACAGGAAACATACAGGAATTTATTTTTGCATACAATATGCATTATAGTAACTTCATAAGTTGGGTGAAATATAACGGTTTTTACGTATACTTGCAGAGCTACACTTAGAGGTGGCAAAGTAATTCATTTCTTTACTCCTCTCATATATTTTTTTATAGGATAGGGTGACAAACGAGCACACAGTCCACCTGATGGTAAGTGGTTACTATGACCCATAGACATCTACATCTATCATCAATAAAGACTCAAGATGCAGATGCGTTGTCACCCGTGAGGACTAAGATGGAATGCCTCTTTGCCAGTAAAAAGGGTCTCCGGTTCCCTACACTCACCATACGAAACACAGCAGCGCCAAGCCGCTGTTTTACGCTGGTTTTCTGTGAGAGCGTGGTACCTCCCCGGTCGAGCCGACCCATTCGTGCTACAAATATACTACTATTATAGCTGCAGCATGGTTCTACCACGTATAAAATCATCATATTGATTTCACCTTTTCTAAATACCTGATTATATGTGTAACAGAAACTAGATATCGTACGATATCTTTATCCGGCAAGGATATGTCATCCTTATATATCCTTGCAGGATAAAGGCCGTTTTAAATAAAAAAAGAATAACTTCGTTTAAGTGAGACAAAATTGTTTGATAATCTCTTTTAGCTTTCTTTTTAAATATAGAAATATGATGATTATCCATTTCCGAAATTAAGAGGCAATTCTGATAATTTCGCAAGGCAGACCCAAACGTAACAATTTTGCAACTAAATTGTAATGTCGCTCGATTCCGAAAGGAACTCCCAGGGGTCCAATAATACGGTGAAAGATGCTCTATGACAATATTAAATACTAATTTAATAATTGTTTAGTGTGTAGTGGAAACCCGGATAGAGCAGCCACTCAGCCATAAAGATGGTCAGCCGTCCGCATCGATTTTGAAAATATTGTTGTAGTGAGATATAAGTGAAAATGCAGTAATAAAACCGGAGCATTAGTAGCTTGATATTTGTTTTATAATGAATAGGTTTTGCCATTAATTTTTATAGCGAATGATTTAATAGTTATCTAATCCATATTTAAATAAATTTATTCTTTTAATGATAATGACATCCATGATTAATGACATTTCCGATTTATTATATAATTTTGTTTCAATTTAAATCACTATTCCTAAAGTTTAAGTATAAATCTTAATTTTATAAAATTTGTCCAGTGGTTTGCATGTCTGGAAGAACTAGATATGAGAATCTGTTACAAACATTTTCCGTCTAATTTACCATATTTAATACAAATAAATGGCTTAATTTGGTTTACGTGCCCTAGATCCAAAAGCCATAGGTAAGATCTAAAGTCTTTAGCAAAAACCGTATATACGTTAGGTGATAGTTTGGTTTGTTTTAGACACTATAGAATTTTAAACAATTAAAACAACGCAGTTGTTAATCTTTTTCATTTAAGAATTTAATTGACACCTGCAAAATGAACTGATTGGAGTTCTATCAAGAAATATTATTTATTTTCTGTAATAATATATCTTAAAAAAAAAATTGTGCAAGTAAGAAGGTGATTTTAAGAACACTAGAAAAATCACGGTTGAGTAAATTTTACGGCAGATACATTGTATCTTGGAATGACGTGGTGAGTTTTAGCACTCGTTATGCGAGAAAGGAGAGAACTGCTTCAATATCCAAAAGAAAATGTTCCTTGTTTAAAGTAATGAAACTATCTACTAGATTCAGTATTTTAGATATTATTATGTACCTTCTATAATTTTCTGTTAATTTAACTGTTTATTTGTATAAATATAACAAAAGAAAAACAATTTCCTGTGCATGTTGACTATTAAGTAATTTTTTAAATTTATCATAAGCCAGTCCTTGGCTACCCACCTGATGGTAAGAGGTGATGAAGTTAAAATGCACTGTTTTCGCCTGAAAGAAGCTTATTCACTCTTCCCTTAAAGACGTCCAGATGGTAATAACCTACAAATAAATAGCCTAAACATATATTTATATTACGGCGTTTTTGTTGTTTATATATAATACATTTCTTCATTCTGATATAGCCGTAAAACTTTACAAGCACTTATATTTTTTATGTGAAAATCTGTGAAATTATTAGAATGTTTGTTACTTAATCACAAACAAACAGTTAAACAGATGAAACGTCACGGACAAGGCACACAGATAAACCACATCACAACGGAAAGTTAAAGCGAGAAAATCTAAAGAAGACGTTAATGTTTCCATGCGGATGAAGTCGTGGTTAGATGGTCTGAAGTAAATTTATTTTCAAGTAAAACGGCCGATATTGGTGGTATTAAAGCCTAAGTAACCGGCACCGACTCTATTTGAGAATTGACTGTGTTCGATATATGGCAAGCGTGCGTGAAAAATTATAACGAATGGAATTAACAATAACATAAAACCTTATGATTTGCACATAATTGGACAGTTTAAAATAATAATACTTAAGAATATAAATGATGTTCATTTAAAGTTACATTAAAAACTATTTAATAGCTCACCTATAACTGTTCTGATTTACTTTATAAATAGCGGCGATTTTATTGAATACATCAATCATGTTTTGGCGCAAAAAAATACTTTAGTGCAACGCTTATAATTGCAGGTACGGTAAATAGTAAGTTGCAATAATGCTATTCATTTTTATACGTGGTAGAGCCATGCTGCAGCTATATTAGTAGTATAGTTGTAGCACGAATGGGTCGGCTCGACCGGGAAAGGACTACGTTCTTACCAGCGTAAATTAGCAGCTTAACACTGCTGTGTTTCGTATGGTGAGTGTAGAGAACCGGAGACCCTTTTTACTGGAAAAGAGGCATTCCATCTTAGTCCTCACGGTTGACAACGCATCTGCATTTAGATTCGCAAACGAGGATAAATGTAGATGTCTATGGGCCACAGCAACCACTTACCATCAGGTGGACTGTGTGTTCGTTTGTCACCCTATCCTAGAAAAAAAAAATAGTTAAGACGAAGACGTAATAAATCGTTAAATTCAGGTTAGGAAAGATATAACATTTTGACTTTTATCGAATGTTGCAATTAAGTTGTTAATATATAAAACTTGTCATTTGAAGTAGGTACTTGACAGATACCAAAAATGCAATATTGACATCGACGTCAAATTATTTTTATGTAAACAATTTTTTGAAAGTTCAAAAAACTACCTCATTCGTCGTAAGACAAATTTTCTGCCAACAGTTAAAATTTCCCCTGATAAAATAACTAATCTAAAAATCTAAGAAAGCTTATTCCAATATTTCTTATTATTGAGATAATCATTTAATTTATAATAAGCTATTTTGATTTTTGCGATAACTGAGTTGCCTATCTCAGTAATATTGAAATAAAGTAACACCCTATTTACGCCCACTCTTGGGCACAGATCTTTTTTTCATTTCTGAGATAGTTTTAGGGCAAGGAAGTTAGTGTCTACCCCACTGACCCAATGCGTGTTAGCAAATTTCACAAGTTTCCGAAACATTTCTTTTCCTATTTCTCAGAAATGCAAGTTTCCTTACGATGTTTTACTTCACCGCTGAGCACCTGGTAAATCGAACTTGGGTTTCTCGCGTACTGTGAAATTTACTGGCAGCCCCTGAGCTACTACGGCTCTTATGTTCAAAGATTCTTCTTATTCAAATAATCATCTAATTTATACTAAACTATTTTAATTTATGCGATGACTGAGCTGCATATCTCAGTAGTTTTATAGGGAAAGTTGTAATTAAATAGTTATACGTACATCTAGTCAAAAGCCACTAGTTTTTTTTTATAGGATAAGGGTGACAAACGAGCACACAGTCCACCTGATGGTAAGTGGTTGCTGTGGCCCATAGACATCTACATTTATCCTACATCTATCCTCGATTATTAAACAAAATGCAAATGCGTTGTCACCCGTGAGGACTAAGATGGAATGCATCCTTTCCAGTAAAAAAGGTCTCCGGTTCTCTACACTAACTATACGAAACACAGCAGCGTTAAGCTGCTATTTTACGCTGGTATTATGTGAGAGCGTGGTCCTTCTCCGGTCGAGCCGACCCATTCGTGCTACAACTATACTACTAATATAGCTGCAGCATGGCTCTACCACGTATAAAAAAAACGTTTTTAAAGCCTGTACTTTATAACAGCAATTTTAGATTTATTACGCATTATGGACATCATTAATTTTATTAAATGTGTTAAAATTGTTCCTAACATAATTAATATTATCCAGTATGAACTGTGAGATAATACTTAAAATATTAGTTTGTTTAAAAATGTTTCTAAGAATTCATTTGTTCTGATATTGTGTTCGGTATGACTGACTCTTTTCTGTAGTATAAATGATGAATATTGACAACAAGGCTCGTGCGAAAATCTTTGACAGCAGATCTAACAGCAGACAATCTTTAATATTAGCCTAAAATTGTTAGATGCCTTCGTATGTTTCTTTCAAATCCCTTATCTAAACTTACCTCTTTCCATTTCTCCTTCTCCTCTTCGTTGCGTACACGGTGCCAAGTTGACTCGAGTGCGGCTGCGGCGGTGGCCGGAGCAGACCAGGGTCCACGCAACCCTCGAGTGCGTAGCCAGCCTGCCCACCCCAGCCACCGCACAACTGCAACTTCGACTCTGTGGCTATCTTGACGGCTGGCAGCGCCAGCTGTGACGTTCTCACTTCACCTGGCACGATTGTCAAAGTTGGACAGCACACATACGAGAAATAACGTACAGCCCGACCACCACAGTTGTATTATTTCACCTTTAATTTTAATCTGGTCACGGTTGCGAGCATTAATGATGATTGTTTTAAGCAAACATATAGATTGGACGAATTCAACTTGTAATTATTAAGTGATAGTCTGACTGGGTTGTTAAATGCAACTCGTTTTTAACTGTTAACTCTTTAATTCAATTAAACGTTTTCTTCGATATGTACTTTTCAGTCTGTTTCTATTTCTTTATTAATCCAAGACAAAACAACTACGTTTTAACAATAGATCGAGAAACGAGCACAAATCATCCGGAGCGATGAATATTCATTTGGAAACTCGACTGGATCTTACGACCTCGATATTGATGTTTGCTGAAATTATCGTATACCCATTAATTCTTGCGTCCGGCGGGAAATATTCGAGGTATTTGTTTTCTGACATATAATTTTTGCAATAATTTTATCATATCTACTCACTATCAAGCTTTTAACTTTCAAGAATTTTTTTTAATTTTCCATAAAAATATTTACAATGTTGAATTAAAAATAACATCTATCTTTTATTTTAACTTTCAGAAACTGCTTCTTAAAATTGTCATAAGTCAATCAGAATTTTATTTTGGTTAGCAAATTGGTATAATTTATTTATAAGTAGGTATAATATTTCTCTTTAATACAACTTTGGAAGAATTCGTTGAGCGTGACTAAACTTTTATAGTTGGGAATTCCAATTGGAAGAGTGTGGTGATTTTTGAAATTCACGAATTGTCAACTGCACATCATTAATTGTTTAGTAATATTGCACCATGTTTGTTTGTTAATAAGTCATAATTTAGTTTGTGTTCACCGCGCTCCTTGTACGCTAGCAACAGAGGTCACTGCTTTATCGATTTCACCGTCTTTAATACACCCTGTAGCACCAACTTCAATAACAACACTGTTGTTAAAATTCTTACAAATATCTTCTAAATCCAAACGAAACACAATTGAGTTCACTAAGGTCAATTTAAGCCATGCCACTTAGCCGCGCACATTGTTACCCAATATAAGTTCAAACGCGATCGGTCTCAAATTTTTTTATATTCACGTGCTGGTTTGAGGTAAGGGTGGATGGGATCGAGCACGCGTGGCGCCACCGGCGAGCGCCTGATGTGGTTTGGCGGCTCGGCCACAAAGACCCCTAACAGAGAGAGGCGGCGCTTGTTAAAGAAACGCCTCCAATTCTGTGCAAGCCAATAGCAAGCCCCCGGCATCTTTAAAGCGCGCTGGGTCGTACTGAGTGACGTTCATTTTTATTTTTCAAAACAATTCCGCGATTTCTTTTGCCTTTTTGTTAGATGGGTACTTTTTTCTCTCTTTCGTTCGTTTCGCTTTTATTCTGTAAGTGACTTCTAAAATGTCAGTTGCAACATTGACGTCGACAAGAAAACGTCGTTTTTAATCACAGATATTTTAATAGGTTTATAAATTGCATTTAATTGACCGTTATACAACTAGTAATAAAATTAGTGATTAGTTAGATTTATCGTTCAAATAAATTAAATTGACAAGAAGAACGGAAAATGGTTAGTCTCCATATTAAGTATCCTATGTAGATTTTTTTTTTAAACTTATACGATAAAACATTTAAGAGATTATGTCGGTCGTTGTTCTCATCGCTTTTTGACCAAAATTAAATAATCGTAAAATTATTTTTTTTATTATTTAAACCTCGGTAATCTAAATTTACCAAATAACATTTTAATGTAGGACTCTTAAATCCCTTGTCCGAATACGTCCCGCGCTGAACACAGTGACGTCACAAAATGGCCGCCGTGGGAGGGTGAGTTTTCGCATTTTCCCCACAGCCGTCGACCCAAATGGACTACCGTAGCGGCCCCCGCTTTTGTAAATATTTTCATTTCGTATAACAAGGGAGAAAATAGCCTCAGTTATTTAGTAGCGCCTTTGTGTATTATGTCATTGTAAACATAAAAATACCCATCTTTAAACTTTATATGGAAGCTATTTTTACGTACTTATATAACGTAAAAATACATTTCATATAAAGTTAAAAGGACGTCTGTAATTATTACTAGTGTAGTTACTATATATTAACAGAAAAATAATCTAACAGTACGCGATGAGTAATCTCAAAGATCACTATCGCTACGTTGATTCCATAAATATATCTTTGTATCGTTTGTATTTATTCTTGATATACGGAATTGCATTTGATAAAGAAACTACTCTTTTTTTATTTTATATTCATTAAAAACATGTAGGGTTTAGACTTCCGTTCTATTTTTAAAATGGATTTTTGACAAGAATATTCCTGCTGGTGTCTCATTGCGTATTGGCAGACATCAGATGTTTTAAAATATTAGCGTTTTTAAATTCTCCAAAATGCTGCTTTCTTAACGATCCACCGCACGTGATACATCAGCACTTGAAATTGCAATTAACAATTTTATTGCTGCCGACGGTGGATAAAATCCAAGTCACTCACGATCCACGGCTCTCTATGATAATAAATATACATTCCACTTTTTTTTATAAGATAAGGGTGACAAGCGAGGTAAATGGTTGCAAATCAAAATGCAGATGCGTTGTCAGCCTTGAGGACTAAGATGAAGTACCTATTTTCCAGTAAAAAGGGTCTCCTGCTCTCCACACTCACCATATGAAACAGTAGCATTAAGCTGCAATTTAACGCTGGTATTCTGTGAAAGCGTGGTCCTTCCCCGGTCGAGCCGACCCATTCATGCTACAACTATACAATTAATACAGCTGCAGCATGGCTCTTAAACAGTTAAAATAATCCAAAATATAGATTCGTTAGAGATTGATAATTTGTTTCTTCATATTATGTAGGTAAAGAAGTTAAAAGCTTGTCAGACGACGTCGCCAAAGCAGTTGAGTAAATATGACAAATTCATATCTAGGTACTATACACCGAAAAGTCGCATACTTGTTGGCCTCCTCTTATATACCTATATAAAAAATCACTTGCAAAAATGAGAGCCATATATACTTTTATATATACACCTTTAGTTTTTCACAAATCAAAAAAATTTATCAAAGTACATCAACACACAATTCAAAATAATAGATCAATATATGACTATATTATGTTGTTAGTAACAATTATGGTTTATGGCACTTGGCTTATCATTTTGCACTAGACGTTACTGGACATGAAGACAGTTAATGATAAAATACTGACACTAAAACGTCACAAAAAAGACATACCAATAGCAAGGTTTCATAGAACACATCATAAAGCAGGTGCGAAGTGTGGAATGACAAAGACGTTTGTTTCATTTCAAAAATCTTAACACAAATCGATTTACCGTACATTTTTTAAAGGTACGATCATATATACACACACGTGTGCCTAAAGTGTTAACCCACTAAAATTTTTTATAGCAATTTCAGGTGCTTATTTATTCCATTAATTTAAGTGTATATATTTTACATGGTAGAGTCACGCTGCAGCTATATTATGGCTGTAGCACGAATGGGTCGACCCGGGAAGGACCACGCCCTTACAGAATACCAACGCAAAATAACTATTTAATGCTGCTGTGTTTCGTATGATGAGTGTAGAGAACCGAAGACGCTTTTTACCGGAAACGAGACATTCCATATTAGTTCTCAGGAGTGAAAAAAATACTTGCACAGAACTCGTTCAAAACGGGGTAGGCAGTTCTTAGAAATTAAATTATTCCAGAAACAAGAACTACAGCGTGATGGAATTAAGAACTCCATTCTTTTATCAAAGACCATAGTGGAGCTTTTAACTTTTTATACTGAAAAAACCAACTTACGATCCACCAAACGGCAAGTGGTTACTGCAGTCCATGGGCACCTGCAAACAACTTCAAGCAACAAATAAAGACTTTAAATGCGTTGTCACCTGTGAGTGCTAAGATGGAAATAATTAGTTAATATATATTTATGAACATATATATATAATTAGATTAGCACATTCATATTGACGTCCTGGTAAAACATGCAGGAAGTCAGTGGATGCAGGTGACTCGGGGTAGTGTTTTGTGGCATTCCTTAGCGGACCCCATGTTCAGCAGTGGACTTGTGATGTGCTGTAATGATGATGATGATGATGATACATATCATAGTAAATTCTTAGAATAGTTAAAGAGTATTGTCTATAATATATTTTGTTTATATAATTGAAAACCCTTTGAATAGTCTTACCTGTCCTTCTAAGTCTTTAAATTTGTCAAATCGCTTTTGGTTTGAAAAAAATAAAATAAAAAGTGAAACTACTCTCATCTTTAATCATAGTGGCTCTCTATGCCCTGCAGATCGTGATACAGAAGACCACACAATGCTGCTTGGTAGCAGCAGAAATAGGTAAGGAGGTGGAATACTCTTAGGTAGAGTCCTACCCCTTAGTAAAAGTAGTATTTTTCGTGCGACATGTTTTTTTGATAGTGAATATTATAACTCAAAGCTAAGTAACTTGAATTTTTTAGACATACATATATATATATATATATATATATATATATATATATATATATATGTATATATATATATATATTTATAGAGAGGACATAAGTAAGCCTGTCGACTACAACTTAGTTATACCAAGAACAGCCCACAAAAGTTAACTGCTGCGCATCGACTTTAAAACAAAGAATACTAGAAGTGTGGTCAATCACACGCTTAGAATTGTTAAAGTTGAATTCATATGGTATTTAATATGAATATGACTAAAAGTTTTAATTTATTAAGCATTACCTTATCGTCTTTCATCACAGCCAGTGACTGCCCGAGATGGAAAATATTAAAAGTATAATAAAACAAAAATGAAACGGCCTTATAAAAAATAACGTAATTAATACTACAGAAGTGTTACCGTGCAATAGCGACATAAGAAACCAATAGTAATCCACACATATGGGACGAAAAGAAGTATTTCATCCCATATGTGTCGAAAGAGGGGATAATGTGAATTTGAAACAGAGGATAGACAG